GCCAAGTACAGTGGATCAAAGATGTAAAGAAGTCCCTGACCTTGAGGACTGCTCTCAGATCTGTCCCTCCCTTTTCCATCCCGAGACAGTTTCCTGGCCCAACACCCCTCAAGCCCTAAAGGATTCAGCTCTAGATCCTTTCACTCCAAACACACCCTGAACCAACCTAGAAAAGATGCAGTGGGCAAAGAATTTCCCTTTGCACCATCACAGATAATGGTCCAGAACAAAAACCTGAGGAGGAAATGTGATATAAAAGAAAAGATGTGCCAGGTGTGGCAGTACATGCCTGTAATCTGAGCACACAGAAGGCCGAGGCAGGAGGATCACCTTGAGTTTGAGGCCAGCCTGGGCTACACAGTGAGCTCAAGGATAGCCTGAACTACACAGCAAGACCCTGTCTAAAAAAAAAAAAAAAGAAAGAAAGAAAAGAAAAGAGTGAGCTCCAGAGATAGAGTTGGATTCAGATCTATGAACTGAACAGATCTATGGATTCTCACCATGACCTTGAGAAAGTCATTCAACTTCTTTGGGCCTCAATCTCTTCATCTGTAAAATGGAAATATTGATACTAATTTGGAGTATTGTTTCGAGGCTTAAACACTACACTCTGAGTAAGAAGTACATGGTAAATATTGTTTTTCCTGCATAATAAGATCTCTTAAATAGGTAGGGGCTGTCATGATGAGGTAGACATTGCTACTTTTTATTGGCTCACCAAGAAAGGATGAATAAGCAAGTACATATTAAGATCTCAGGGTTTGGGCATTTTTACTTGGTGGTGGTGGGGTGTCAGTTGAGAGATCTGAAATCTTATTCCTTCTGTTCCTGAGATGGAGACATGTCCTTAGGATTCCATAGACTCCCCCCATAACTGGGTGTGGCACCACTGTATGTCTTTCTCAGAAAATCCTTCATTAGATCTGTGCTACTCCCCCTCCCATCCACACACAGAGTGCAGGCCGCAAGTACTTCAAGGGATGATGAAGACCTTGGCCCTAGGCCCCACTCCCATCAGACCTTCACCGGACTTGGGAGAGCTCCACTCCAATCTAGCCCATCCACCAACCCCTTCCTCCCTTCCTGGGAGGTGGGGTGGTGGTGGTGGTGGTGGTGGATCTGAGCCAATAACAAAGGGAAGATGCGCTTTATCTAGGGGAGAGAGAAAACATCAGAAAAACATGGGACTGGCTCTATGGGGTGGGGTCGCTGCGGAGAATAGCAAAGGGGATTCGGGTCTCCAGAAGGTAGGGAAGGAGCCCCCTCCCACTCTGCAGAGACTTGGCCCCTGGCCTGGTAAAGCCACACCCAGCCATTCCGATGCAGGGGAGAGGAGGGGCTGCGGCGAAGAGGTTGCAGAATGTGCAATGGCGGGGGGGCGCAAAGTGAGGGGCATAGAACGAGGCTCAGCTGGTCAGAAGATCCTGCTTCCCGCCCCTTCCTCAAACTCCCTGCCGGAGCGGCACTCACCCCGATAACGACGCTGTCATCTCCTTGGAAAATGGGGATGAACTTGTCCCCACGCAAGATCTCGGCCTGGTTCAGAGGCCGAAATCGGCAGAGCACCTTGATGCTGCATTCGTTGTTGGTCTCCGCCATGGTGGTCGCCGGTGTAGGGCTGGGGCACTTCTCGGTGGTGTGCTCCGGAGGAGGGGGCGCTCGGCTAAGGCCGGGGCGGAAGACAGACGCTCGGTCGCTGCGGCCGAGAAAGCAGCCGGGACGGCCACACGAAGGCAGGGGGAGTAAGGCCAGGGCGCGCTTTCAGCCTGCTGCGGCACAGAGATGCGGGCGACCCGGGAGTCTGGTCCTTGCTCGGCGCTCTGCCTCTCCGCCCTCGCTCTGCAGCCG